GGGGCCGGGGAGGCGGGGGGAGGGGCGGCCCGTGCGCAGGGCCAGGGGGAGGGGAGGGAGGGGAGGGGCGGGGCGGCTCCCGCTCACGACAACAACCAGCGCCGCCGCCGGGTCGGCGGGAGCCGGGGGCTGGGCCGGCCACGCGCAGGGCACCACGGGAGCGGGAGTCCGAGGCAGGTCGGCCGTCACCCCTAGACCGCGCCTAAAAAGCATAGGCCCCGCGACGCGGCCGGAGAGAAGTGAGGCGCAGGGGCCTCCGGGAAATGTAGTCCAGGCTCTTCGCTCCTTCCGCCGGGAGCTAGGGCCGCGAGAGCTGGGACTGTGGGGCCCGGACCCGACGCAGAAAGCCAGCCCCCGGGCCGCCGGGAGGTGTGGTTCTCGCCCCAGACCCCTCCCATTGTTCTTGTCGAGGCCAGCGGCCCGCATGAACTACCACTCCCAGGGTGCAGTGAGCTTCGCACCCTGGGTGCCCCGGAGACACTGGGAAATGAAGTTCGCCGCTGCAGGAGGCGTGGGCTGGGGAAGGGGCAGCGGCAAAGGGTTAGTCTCAGTACGAGGCAAGACCGGGCGGCCGTTTTGCACAGCCTGGGGGGAAGATGCCGAAGGGGCAGCAGCTTTGTGGCCGTTGTGCTTAAGGAGAGCCAAGGCGTGTGGCCGAAAGCAGGGCGGGGCATGCATTCCTCTCGAGCCCCAGGCCGCAAGGCCCGGACTCAGACCCCGTGCGCCGTTGCTTGCTGTGGAAGGGGCGAGCAACTTGGCTTCCCACAGCCTCTCCGCACAGGGCTTGCTGCTAAGGCAGCCTGGACACCGAGCCCTCGCGGCCCGCTGCCTCCGGGGGAGGACTGGGAACCCCAGGAGATGGAGGAGGTGGCCGCTGCGCCGAACAGCGGACGCATGGCCAGCAGGGGCCGCTACAGGACTAAGGGCAAGGCCGCCCACTCCCCGGCTCCCACCCCAGGCTAAAGTCTGGACTTGACTTGTCCTGAGAGGAAGGCACAGGAAACTCTTTATTTTGGTGATGAAATCGCCAGTCTCCGCACAGTTAACCTTCACTCGTGCAAAGCTCACTGCCCTCACCCTACAAGGGCTCGCTGGCCCAGGTTTCTGTGGCCTGCTATCATCTGAGAGAGGGCTCTCAGCGCCCTTCCTGCCACGCTTCTTGGAGCCGAATTGGACATGCCGCCGTAGCCGGGTCAGAAGCCTAGGCAGCCCGCCGCCCGTCTTTCGTTCTTTAATTGTACTCTTGGCTGAAGCCAAAGAAGCTACCGACACCCCGTCAGGTGGTGGAGGAAGGAGGCCTACAGGGAGAGGTCGAGGCCCGGGACGGCCTCGAGGAGGAGGAGGAGGAGGAGTAGAGGAAGGTGGAGCGAATGGTCCATCCGGGCGGGAGCTGACTGGGCGAGTGGCCGCGCATGTGCGCCTGCATGGAAGCCAGGCTGGGGCAGCCGGCCTGGCACAGAGGGCAGCGGTAGGGTGCGGCCCCGTGCGTCCGCAGGTGCTTGGTCATGGCCGAGAAGTCCCGGGAGCGCTGGGGACAGAGGCTACAGGAGAAGGGCTTCTCTCCTAGGGCGGATGGAGGGGAGGTCGGTGAAAGAAAGAAGGGGGTGAAAGCTGGCCTAGGGGTAGATCAGGGCGACTAGGCAAGGGAGTTGGGCGGGAGCCAGGCACGCAGACAGGGACCTAGGAACGGGCAGATTGGAGTTTGGAAGGAAGCAGACAATTCACACTGGGCAGGGCGCGCATACCTGTGTGGACTCGGTAGTGCGTCTCCATCTGATGCTTGAGTGAAAACCTCTTTCCACAGACAGAACAAGAATAGGGCCTGGACCGAGCAGGAGGGGGCAGGGGGGGGTGCTGGCAAGATGGGCGGCCTGCAGTGCCCATATGACCCACACAAGTTGCAAGTGCACCTGTGGGGACGGAGAAAGCAAAAGAGGGCAGGGCTGGGAATCCCAGAGCTGGATTCACTGCAACACACAGGCAAGCCATCAGGGGCTACACTGGGGCTGAGGCAAAAGCTCCCTCACCCTCCTCACCTGTGTGCCTCTGATCAGACTCTTCCATCTCCACAGGGCTAAGCTGTGCGGGGCCCTGGTGGAGGGAACCTGGAGGGAGCAGAGTGAAGTAGGGGCCCTGCTCAGGCTGGATTCCTGGACCCCCAGCCCCAGGGGAGAGACCACATTATAGGGTTCATGCAGGGCAGTGAGGGGCTTACCTGGGGTTGGGCTGGAGGAGGCCACTTGGTTCTGGCTCCAGAGCCCTTTGTGGAGGTTTAGGGACAGTGGCATCCTGGGGGTGGGGTGGGGAAGAGTTACAGCCTTGGCAAAATCTGGGATTGTGGCCAATCTCTTCCTGGGGAGGGAGGTGTCATGAGTCCTCCTCAGGGACTGGGCTCTGTCTTCCCCTTTGGTGGGAGCTTCTTGTCCTGTCCCCAGCTCAGGAAATGTACAGTAGAGAGAAGAGATATGGTGCCCTTCCACCCGTCACCGCTGCCTCTCCTGAGCCACTCCTTCCCAGCTTGGGAGGTCTTCCATGAGGCCCTTCACTCACCTCTTGTCCTGAGGCCAGACCTCCTGCCAGGTTCCAGTGATGGGGGTGCTATGGGGGAAGGGGGTGCCATATCTGGGCGGCAACAGCAGGATGCTCCATAGGGCAGGCTGCCCCTCCCCTAACCAAGGGGCCTCAGCCCACCAGGGCCTAGGGGTGACGCTGGTTTGGAGGGAACCAGGTGGGGGAAGGGGGCCAGGGAACTCCCGCAGAGTTTCCTCAGAGCCCCCTGGAGTCTCCCTCACCCACATGATCACTTCTTGCTTCCCATCTACTCCCCCATGGCCAACAGGGAATTGGTTGAGTTTCTCCTTGAATCTCATCTGCACTCCCTGGCCCTCCCTCGTTGCCTCTGCCATCTCAGGGCTCTCTCTTGGTGGCCTGTGCTTCTGCAGTGTTTCCTGTTCTCGCCCACCAGCTCTAACAAATTTCTCTGGTCTCTGCTTCTCTCCAAGGGCCCCTACTCCTCTCTCAGAACCCTTTGTGGGTTTCTCTGGCTCCTCCTGATGTTCCTTCAGTCCCGGACCCAGCTCTTCTCTAGCCCTGTCCCTTCGAACCCTTCTGCACGCCTCTTCCAGGGACTGTACCCCCAAGGCCCTGGCCGCCTCCTCAAGGGGTTCCAGTTCCCCAGGCTGAAGCTCTACGCTCTCTCCATAAACAAAGTACAGAAGCTGGGCAAAGGTGGAAGGGCTGATGCCTTTCACCAGAGCCCAGCGGCCCCTGCGGCCCAGCTGCTGGCTTGCACCTGCCAGCACCAGGCTGTGGGCAGGGAACTCCTGGCTCCCCACGGTGATCAGGGTATCACATAGTGCTGGCCGGAGCCTGGCTGCTAGCCGTACCAGGCGATCAGAGCCATAGGGGCTAGGAAGTCTTGTTGGGGACAGGGGCATTGTGCCTTGCCTGGGTACCAATCTCAGAGGTTCTGAGAGAAAGGCCACAGTGTGGGGTCTGTGGCAGAAAGGAGAGGGAGGAACAGCATATTCTCAAGCCTGTGGAGGGAAGGGGAGAGTGAGTGAGTTGCTGGTTCTGGATCAGAGCTCTCTGTCCTGAATGGAGCAAATAAACTAACCCAAGAGAGGACTTGAGCTTATCCAGAATCATAACAGGGGCCAGGGTTGGGGGTGGGAGTGGTGGGAGAATGGAAATTAGACCAAATTCAGGACTTAAAGAGCAAGGACAAGGCAGTTAACAACTATATCAAGTAGTGGGTTTAAGACTAGTATAGATGGGTCCTGCCAATTGGCAGTCTCTGACTTAAAGGATAGCAGACGCTGATACTTCTTCTCCAAGCCCCTCTGCAGGGAAAACTCTGAGCAGGCCAGGCTTTCTTCATTCCAGACACAGAGATCACCATAAAACCCAGCCCAGGCAACTAGGGTTGGAGCAAGACGCAGCTTCATGGGAGAGTTTAGAAAGCTAGTAGTGTCCTCTTCCCACAAGCCCATCACATGGAGCTGAGGGTCCTGAGAGGCAGAAAGGGCAGCAAGACAGGGTCGTAGTTGCAGGAGGGCAGGCTCTAAGGCATCAATCGATCATCTCCCTGAGGCTGAAGCTTCTAGAACACATTCTCAGAGAAGGAGCTGGAAGAGACCAAAGACTCCCATCCAGTGAGTTAAGAGAGCAGGTGCAGAAGCCACAGGAGAGAAGGCTCCCGACCTAAGGATGGAGAGAAGTTTTGGAGAAGACTTTGACTACCAAGGAAGCAGGAGAAAGGGACATGGGAACTGTAGAGCAGGAGGCTATTTCCTCTCAATATTAGGATAAGGAGATGGTTTAATTTTGTTTTTCATGAGCCAAAAGTGAAGAATAGAAAGACAGAAGCTAACAAGGCAGAAGTTTATCACACATCAAAACCACCACACTGGCTTTTAGGAAGAGAACTGGGAACCCAGTTACCAAGAGACAGACCCAAGTGTCTCTGTGCCCAGCAGGCATATTCCTAGGTGTGGGTGCACTGTGAGTAAGGACGCTTCTGGGAGGGAGGATTACTACTTGGACACCTCAGGAAGAGGGCTACAGGTTGGCAGGAAGTGGACAGAAAGGGGGGTAAGGGAGGAAAGTCTCAGCTGGGGAGAAGCAACCACTCACCGGTTGTAGCTTCCTCCTGGACACCGCATGCTCTGAACTGCTGTTGGGGCTCCTGGGGCCCCCCCCTGGAGCTAGCCCCGCCTCTGACCTCACAGTCTTCCATTGGGTGTCCCAAGTATCAGTCTGCCACAGTCCCCCAAGGGGGTGTGGTTTTATACTCCTGGCTCTGCTTCACCCCTCCAGGAGAGACCACCCCCTCTACTTCCAGAATCCAGGCATTGCCTCCTGACCTGTCTTTATTTCATTTGTGAACTTCTCGAGTCAAAGAAGTGTAACTGAGGCAACAAGAACTTTGGACTAATCAGACCTCATTTGAGTTTCATCTCGACCATTTTCTAGCTGAATCACCTTGGGCAAGTCACCTCTCTGAGCCTCTGTTACCTCGTCCATGAAATAGGGATAACCTCTGCTTACCTCACTTGGAGGTGGAAGTGAGGATGAAATGACATGATGAATGTGAAAGTGGTTTATCAGTACACAGCGTCATTCAAATAGTATTAGTTCTGTTTCTTAGAGCTGTCATTAGAGCTCTAGCAGCTGGAAGCTGTTTCTACTACCTGAGAAGTAAAAAGGACTGAAGCATCTAGATTCCAAGAAGAGAGTGAAGGAGGGCCGAAAGCATGCCTGACTTAGTACTACGAAGCCTTGACAGCTATGTGGGAATGACCCCTGTCATCTGGGCCACCATTGGGGACTGCATGTGTGAGTGACTCAGATCCTCCCATCAAGCGCTGAAGGGGGCAACCCCAGGAAGGGCTTGCGGTGGTCTTCGAAGAGAAAAACTCCTTTTCTTGAGTTGATGACAAATGACATTTCTCTGAAATCAGGACTCCAGGGTTTCTTTCACTTCCTGCCCAAGGGGTCAAGGTCCTTGGAGATTTCCCCTCTTTTCACACTTTACCACTCTTTAACCTGGGGAAAGGATGAGGTCTGAGAGACTCAAATTTCTTTTTCTGTTTCTTGTTATTCCATTATCCCTCATCCTGTGGCAAATTTTTCATTCATTCAACAAGTGTTGATAAATCACTCATGATAAGTGCCTGGCATGTCATATATGCCAAATAAATAACTGTAAGATATACAAGTCAGGCACGGGTAGGCTGCTCTGATGACAAGACATGGTCTGGTTCCCCCTAGGCTTCTCCCTTAGATTCTGGTCCCCTCCTAGACTCAAATATTATGTCTCTAAACTCCTGCTTCTCCCTTTGGCTCCAGGACCCCAAAATGTTCAGACCAGCCTTCTACTCTCTCCCTCCAGACCTAACATGCCTTCCCTCTACCTCTCATTCTAGCTTGGGTGCAGGCAGAAGTTAACCCTTCCTAGATCAGACAGGGTGTGCCAATGGGTGGGGCTGGTGGAGGGGCAATAATAGGGTGGGGAGAGGGGAAGATGAGTCAGAGTGAAAGGGAAAATGCAAATGGGCAAGCTTTAATCATTTGCTTCTCTGAACGTTAAATATTTTCCATTTCTGAGCTTTCTAATTCCTCACACCACCACACCCAGGGACTCATTAGACACCCATATAAAAGATACTTGGCCTGGACACATAAAAGCACCAATCCCTGATATGTATGTATACAGAGGGAAACATCCTTCCTCCAACACAGAAATACACAATCCCTGAAGATATGGAAGAAGTGGGGAAAAGCCAAGAGGGAGATACCCCAAGTGTAGAAGGAAAGGTACAGGGGTCTGGAAGATTACATCATCACCCAGTGGAGTGTAGTCCCCCTCACCTCCCAGCCCTATATCATGTGCCTGTGACTCAGCTCCCCCACTGGTGTGGTTTGCTCATTGATCAAGAGAACTGGAGACTGCTCAAAGGGCAGCATCCTCTGTAAACCAAATGTAGTTGACAGAGAGTGTCAGTGGGCTTTCAGGAAACCTAAAAGGGAGGAGAAGGGGCAAGGGGACTCCCCATTCAGTGAACAAAAGCCCCCAAGAATGGGAAACCCCATCTTGCCTCCCACTTGGTGTTTACCCCGTCTAAGGATATCCCTTTAGAGACTGCCTCCATAGAGGTATCTCTAGGGCCTCTACACCTCAGCCCTTGGGCTGGTGACACTCTAGGCCCTTCTCTCTCCCTACATTTTTGACTGCATAGCCCAAGCCATCTTGCACTAGCAGTCACAGCAGAAGCAGAAGCAAATAGCACTTTGACTTGGAAAGATAGGGACACTGCTGACTGTTTCTATTCTTTTTTTTGGGGGGGGGATATTCACCCTTTGCTAACATCTGTTGCCAATCTTCCTCCTTTTTTCTCCCCCCTAAAGCCCCAGTACATAGTTGTGTATACTTGTAAGTTCTTCTGGTTCTTCTATGTGAGCCGCCACCACAACATGGCTACTGACAGATGAGTGGTGTGGTTCAGCACCCGGGAACCGAACCCGGGCCACCTAAGCAGAGCACGCGGAACTTCAACTGCTAGGCCATCAGGGCTGGCTCATGACTGTCTCTGTTCTTGAAAGGTCTCCCCTCCCCAGTCTCAGAAACCTTGTCCACCTTCTACTTCCCAGGCTGACTTAGTGGGAATCACCTGCAGCTGTCTCCCTGGGGTGGGGCCAGGAGACCGCAGATTATGAGGACACAGCCTGCATCCTGGGAGAGGGTAGAGTGGGTAGGAGAGAATAGGTAGCACATAATTGGAAGAGAAGTATGTGGGAAAAGGAGGTATGATTTTTGCCTCTCAGTTCTTTCTGATACGCATACTACTAAGCAAAGTTTGAAATCTGATATTTTTTTATTCTTACTGATAGGCTTGACCATAAGCGCCTTATAAGCTCCTTAAAGCACAACCCAGCTTGATGTAAAAATATCAACACAGCAATACAAGCATGGATTCCCTTTAAATATTATCATTAAAATTAAACCATCAGAATAGGCCAATTAGAGGGATGATTATTTGTTTTATGAAGAATGTTCCCTCTATCTCACTTATTTTAAATGTTGAGTACCCCCAAAGCCAAGTTTAAACAAGATCCCATTTAGAACAATTCTAGGAACATTCCACTCTTCCCAGGAACACATCTCTTTCACAAATTAAGATGCTTAAGCCCCCTACAGCATTTTATATAAAGACCAATTATCCAAACTTACATAAACTTTCAAATGTTCACTCTTTCTAGTTAATTACATCCAACACATAGCAGAGAAGAGACATCACAGAGTGAATTCGTTTCCTTCTTCCCTTAAATCTGTTCTGTGTAACCCAAGAACCAGATATAGTCATAGCCAAGTGAGCTGAATGTAGGTTTATAGAGACCCTATAATAGCACAACTTTTGTGGATTAAGTGGAAAAAGAACTAGACTAGAAGTCAAAAAACTTAGGTTCCACTGCATCCTCACAGTGGATGGCCTTTTTCTTCAGCCCTAATATGGAGCTAACTCTTCCAAGACCCTCAACTTCCTCACAGGGGCTGTTTTCAAGAACAGTACTGAATAGCAGCACTGCCTTAAACCCAGGCAGAGGGCCCCACTCTGATGTCTTCTGGCTGAGAAGTCCAAGGGCATCCAGGAAGTGCTCACCTGGAACCTGTGCCCCCCAGTTCTAGACCATGCTCTGGGTACTCGGAACCCTGGACCTCCTGGCCCAAATGGCCCACTTCCAGGGCCTACCAGGGTCCTGGTCTATACTCACGAGAGTGGACTGTGTGCCTGAGGTACATGACTGTGTGTGAGGGGCATGGAGACTGAGCTTAGACCTGCAGGCTAGTATGTGAGCCACCTTGAAGTGTGCGCCAACACCAGGTGTGGGAAGAAACGGGAATCTCTATTTATAGTCTTCCCTAGCCCCATAAATAACACAGAGCCTGCTTTATTCCAATGATTCTTAACCTATTAGGGGGTCACTATCCCTTTGAAAATGTAAGCCATGGAATCAACTCTTTACATCAGAAAATTGTCGACTCTCGTACCATTTTGCATATGAATAACAAGGCATTCACACACTGCGCTGAAGCCATCCTTGGACAGGTTAAACACTCCTTCTCACTTATCTGTGTGACCGATTTTGCCCCCTATTCCCGAAAAAATCCAACATGCATGCAGTTTTTCATATGATTTCCAGGAGCTCACAGACCCTTGAAATCCACTCATAGACCATCCTCTTGCATCCCCCACCCCTGGTTTAAGAACTCTGGGTGTATGTAAAAGCACTCCGAAAGCTTTAATACCATGTAGAGCTTGAAAAGCTGAGTGAAATTAGACATCCACACCCTGGCCCGTGAATATAAAAAGATCTTCGGTAAAGTCAACCTGGGTGATTTCCTAAAGAGCAGATATCTCACTCTTCTCTTCCTGAGCTCCACTACAACATCCATCTTTCCCATGCACCTGCCGCATGCTTACAGCCTGATATCTTCTGGGAATGACCAGAAAGGGTTTGTGGAAGAGGTACAGATGGGGACCAAAAGGACCAAAAGAACAAGCCAATCCCGGTTCTGTCTAGAGCCACCACAAGGTAATTACCTACTTCATAGAGGGCAAACAACCTGGCTGGGATTTGGAGACCCCCTCCCCAGAACCTCCAGAAGACCACGGGCCTGACCTCCTGGCCATGTTGTCCAACCTGGACCCAATATTGGAAAATCTGCTAACAGCACCTCAACTTGGACGGAGTCCAGAGACCCCCAAAAGCCTTGCAGCCACATGTTCCCAGTGTAGCCTGGAGGCAATGACCCTTGATAACTTCCCATTGGGCTTGCAACCTCATCAATGCCCACTCTCAGCTCAGGCTGGATCTAAAGACCCCAGACAACCTCTCAAGTGCACTCTAGTTTCATCTCTTGGCCAGTGACTCACAATGACCTCTGGAGAGTCACAGGCCTCTTTCCAGTCACCAGATCCAGACTCAGTCCAGAGACCCCAGACAACCTCTCACAGTCCAGTGGCCATACCTCTTGGCCAACAACCCCATACAGAGCTCTAAGGGCCTCTGGCTGCCCCACGACACACTTCCAAATCAGGCTGGTCTCAGGAACCACGGACCAACTCATAGGCCATGCTGGCCTAACTTCTGCCCAGCCTGGGCCCAGAGGTGCCCAGGAGGCCCATTTCCAGCCTCTCCAGGGCAGAGGGAGTCCCCAGGGCCCCAGCCCTCACTTCCCCACCCTCACTGCGACCACTCAAGCCCCATCCCCCAGCTTCGCCTGGGCCAGGCCAAAGCCCGAAGAAAAACAGTAACAAAAACCATGGCACTCACCGACTGGGACCCTGTTCAGACTCACCTATGCTCAGCCTCACCCACACACAGGTCTGTGGACACCCAGCGGCCGTTAGAAAGTGCCGAGCAGCGCGAGGACCGGAGCGCGAGGCCGGCACGTGCACATGTCCATCCCGAGGCGGACGCTGATTGGCTGCCACGCTGGCCACACCCTCTTTCCCGGCTCCACCTCAACGGCCTGGGACGCACAGAGAACAGCTCCGCTTCCCCGCTCTCGCCTCGCAGCCGGCTGCTTGGCTGCGGCGCGGTGCAGGGGCAGAGTCTGCGGACTCAGGCTTCAGGTCTCTAAGGCTGACATCTCACCCTCCAGCCCGCCCCCAGGCTGACCGCCTGCGGAGTCTGCGCCTTCCCACCCTCTCTATGAAGACACTGGGCCCTGAACCTCCTTCCCTGGGGAGCCTTGGAGGCTCCCTCGCAAGTGCTGAGGGACGTCACCCGTTCTTGCTCTTGTCTTGCCACCCTGAGTGGCTCTCTTTGCACACCCTTTCACCTCAGTCTCAGCCGCCTACAAACCGTGGAGAAGTTTGTGTGTGATTGACTGGGAGGCCCTCAACAGCCAGCCAGGCTTCAGGTGCCTCTGGCAGCTCCCCTTTCCCGCCTCGTGCCCTGCCCCACAGCTGATTGGCTGCAGAACGCACGCTGCCTCACCCGGAAGTGCGGGTGAGAGGGAAGATACAAGAGGGGTCGGTGCCTTGACCCGTGATTGGTCTAGACGCTCGCGCTTCAAACGCCCTCATTGACACCTCGACTGTCGGCTGCGCCGGGATTAACTGCGTGCGTACTTCACGCACCAGCCCCCCACCGCACCATAGAGAGAATGGCCCATTGCGCCGCCCCCCGTTAATTGGCACGAGCTTAGAGCCCGGCCGGCAGGCTTTCTGCCTAGGCAGGACTTGGGTGCTGACAGACTGTGAGCTCGCACCGCGCCAGGCTGTGAGTGCCGCCCGCCTCCCTTCTCCCACCAGCCTGGCTGCGGTTGCACCGCTGATTGGCTGGCCCCTCTCTCCTTTAAGTGGCTTGGCCTCGGGTTCGCGCTCGGACATATCCAATGAGGCGCGAGGGCGCTGTAAGGAGGCGGGCATTCCTCCACCGCTTCCACTTCTGATTGGCCCGGAGGCTTGGGTCTTCGCTTTTGATTGACGAGAGGGCCAGGAGGCGGGAGCCTAGCCCCACGGTCTCAGGCGGCGGTTAGGCTTCCAACCCTGCGCTTCAGCTCCGCCGCGGGGCTCCGCGGAGACTTGTCCGGCGCCTCTTTCCCCGTGGCTAGCTGAGGAGCTTGGGGCGGGGGGCGCAGGAGGACCCTCCTGAGGAGGGCATGACGCAGAGGAGCCTGGGACATAGCCGGAGCTGAAAGTCGGGAGGGAGACCGCCTAAAGCGGGAGCAAACCCCTCAAAAAGTAGGGGAGCGACAGGCGCCGTAGTAGTGACAACGACAGTTCCCGCTCACTGAGCCCCTTCCGGGTACCACGCTTTGTGCATCGTCTCGTCGTCCCTTCTCAGTAACCCTGTGAGCCGATTACTATGCCGGGTTAAACTCTGAGGGTCGGAGGTGCAGTCACTTGTCTCAGGTCCCACAGCGAGTGTGGGCATCGCTGGGACTCCGCCCTTGTTCCGGTGCGAGTCCAGCCTTCGAGCTCCACCACGATTACGTAGGGCTCGTCCTGTAGATGTGGGATGGGGGTCTGATGTGGTCACGTGGACCCTGGCTTGCCGCATCTATAACTGAAGGTTTTTTGATTTTTGTTTGGCACTCAGCGCATATTTTCAAGTCCTCAAACTTTTGGGCAA